CATTGTATCACTTTGTCTTTTCCTTGCTTAATATTTTGCATCTCAATGTGACAATAACTGGAGGACTACCTTCATCTGCTTGAAGTCTTATCTTGTTTCTTTTAATGTTATTTAGTATTCTGATATACTTTCTGATCTCATTAATATTGTTTTATCAATAAATATGCATCAAACAAATTTTATAATGGATAAATTATTCACTTGTATATCAGTCTTTTTACTGCAATATAGTTACCTAAGGAAAATAATTCTATCTTATATGAAGTAGCATAAAAGGTAAATAAAAGAAAAAAGGGGGGAAAAATAAGAACAAAAATCCTCAAAAAATATCATAAAAAAATAAAAATAAAAAATAAAATAAAATGGGACTATACTTTTTGAAAAGAGGGGGGAGGGGGGAAAGAAGTTTAATATCACAGTAACAGTTAAATCTTTTGTTTCAAATCCATTATGCATAAAGACAGATCAAAACACTTTTGGACAGTCTTTCATGGTAATCATACAACACATTAAATGCCATTAGCATTCACTATGTAAATATGGGGGGAAAACAAACCTATGAAAGAAAAACGAAGTACTGAACTGCCTTTCCTGTGCAAAATCTTTCTTTGCAGAGAGACCTCGTATATCTCGTAAATCCTCTGCCCATTTTCAACTATGGTTCACCATTGGTTTCAACTTTGGGATTGTCTTTTAATTGACTGAAATGTCTCCTGGTCACTACTTACAACAGCGAGGCTAAGAACAACACAAACAGGTATTGTCTTTCAAGAGAATATCTACTTACCCTGTCCATGCGTCGCATTTTGTTGGCGGGAGGGCCATAATCACGGCTGTCACGCCCATCCACTAGCGAGGAACCCTGACGTGGAGAATAATTACGTTGTTTGGTCTGCTTTACAGAGGCCTACAATATCAGACCTCTTAGGATTACCCTCTTAATCTACTTATGTTTTAACTGTACCATTAAATAAAGTAAGGAAATTATGAATTTTCATAGTCAAGAACATGTCAGGCTGGATAATGATGTTGGCACTGCTAAACCTGAGGGAAAAAATTTAATTGTTTTCCCAAATTTCAATTGGTGTGTCACCTCTACCAATGCAAAAGTTTCCAGCCCTTTCTTTGCAGTTTCCAAATATGGTGCACAGATTCAGCATCTTACTCTGAAACTTTGCAAAACTGCATTACAAAGGAAATCTTTTGTAACACTAATCAATCTGTACTATTAAATGAATTTGTAAAACTATAAATGAGTACCTTTAAACAATAATGAAAATAAATAAATAAATAAAACAAAAAATTAATTAAGGCTACCACTATAAAAATCTGGACAAGCAAGCAAAAAAAAAAAAGCAAAAACAAACTTACCGAAGACAGCACGGCATTGAGTATGTTGAGTGCCAGTTTGGACTCGTTATTGCCCATCTGGCTGAGCTGGCTAAGGGAACCCAGCAGGTTGGATGTGCCCCCTCCCCCACCCCCCACAATGCTACCCCCTGACCCTCCTGGTGTTGGCAGGAGCCCGTTACCCCCACTGCCTCCCCCAGCTGTGGGCACCATGCCGCTCTCCCAGGGGTTTACCATCATGCTGCCCGAGTTCATGCCACCGCTGTACCTGTTTGGAGATCTGCAATCAATATGCAAAGTTGGGGGGGTTTAGGCACACTTGTTTAAATTGTTTTTTTAGTGGTTTGTATATATTCTCAAACATAAGCAGATGAAAACAAAATATCAACAAAATATACCAATTAATATAGACTTGTTATAAATGAAATAAATCAAATAAAGAAAAAATAAACAAACAAATAAACAAAATATATTAAAGATGTCTCTCTAATCAACATTTAAAACTATCACTAGCATGCATTTTACAACTTATACATTATGACAGGAAAAAACTGACACCAGGGCTTTGGTCAGATTACTTTACTACGAGTTAACTGATCCTTTCTGATCACAGACATGAATTCTGGGAAAAAGCACATCCTGACACCCATGTATGTCATGAAGTGTCAGTAACATATAAATTAGCATTATAACCCCAAAATCCTGTTAGATTATCACTGTAAAAATTATGGTTTTGCTTTTGATAATTTCAGAACACTTGTTTTTTTCTAGCATTCTCAATCTTTTAACCCATTAACAGGCTTATGCATTAAATGACGGCAAGGTGAAATTCTGCAATGGCAAGCAGTGATGCCACAAGCAACTGATTTGCACCATGGATATCATGTAGTGGTGTCATAACTGACTTCCATCATGCTGCAGGTGTATGCTTAGCTGGCAGAAGTTTATCAACATTTGTTTTTTTTTCCCTCAATTTTAGTATTGGAAGACAAGGGGATGGGCAAACAACCAATAAAATGTGTCAAAGGCATCTAACTTGCCATTCCAGCTCGCCAAAGAGCACAGGTATCAAAACGAGCTTGTCCTTATTTCTAGCTATCTGCTTGGGCAAACCACAGAGAATGGGTTTGCCAAATCAATATGGGTAACTGAAGTAATTGTGGTATTTATTTCTTTACAATATCATCCTTTTTTTTTATCAAATCATAAACAAGTCTGTAGAAAAGCAGTTTGAAAGATACATAAAATAATAATGAACAATACTTATGAAAAGACAGGATTGCTCTTCCTCCTACTTTTTGTTTTGTAGAAAAAAAAAACTAAAGAAACTTAAGAAACGGCCTGAAGTTTATAGTCTTTGTCTCTTTATACTTGGTCCAAGATCCTAGACACCCCATGGCCTCTCTCAAGGATGACATGAGACTGGGGGGTGAAGGGGGAGGGAGGTACTGTGACAACAGATTCAATACAGGTTTCTCTCCCTTTCTTCATTTCCTGGTGCAAGCAATAAAATTCTAGCAACTGGCTAAACATGGGTAAGGTAGCATATCACTATGGGATGCAATATGCAAGAACTTGTCACTCAGCCAGACCTAGGAATATAATATGCTCATCATGAAGCTACTCAAATTCATGGCTTGAATTACCAGCAACTTCAGTGAATGATGATCTTAAACAGTTTTATAAGTATTTTTATTAACCTAAAGTCTCCAGGCTGGTTAAAAGACCAAAGACCAAAAGCTCTAAAACTGGCACATTAGTTTCCATTTTATGCAATGCACCAATAAAGCTCAGGTTTATCTCTTTAATACATACATAAAAAATAATGCCCACAGAAAGCAGGGAGTAAAAATATTTTTGTATTACAGTATGTCTTGACAGCTATGAGTACAGAGTGGAAGGGGGTGCTTCTATATAACAAGGATTTTGTTCTTAATGCAGTTAACTGCACTGTACTCTTCCATGATACATATTCATCTTTAACTGTTTCTCATGATTTTTTGCAAAACTGAGTGGGGATGCAAGCCTCAACGAGACCCATTCAACTATTTGCACCAGGATGATGTCTTCACGTCTTCCATGGTTGAGCCTCCTCTAAGCTATGAATGTGAAACAGTTGTGCACTTGTTTGCCCATGGCTGCTGTTGCTTAACCCTTTGATGACAGGTGAAGAAAGAAAAGAAAAGAAAAGCTCTACGCTCTGGAGATTAATGGCAATGCACCAACTCTATGCGCAGGACTTTGGTGCACAAGCCGAATCAACAGCTCGTAGCACTTTGGCGTGCCACCATGGCGTACAGCCACACACCACAGATTGTGCAGTTTGTTTTGACGCCTCACTGCAAGACCCGTCAGGAAGGGGTTAAGAGAAACAGCCCCTCAAAATGGGCTTATTGCCTCTTTTTTAGCCACACTATTTAAGCAAATGACTGAGTGCACCTATACTTAAATCTAATATGGTGCCAGGGGCTCCCATCACGAAAAGTAAGCAAAACTATTACTAATACAATCACAGTGGTGCAACTATTGCCAGAGCAAGTACACCTTTGGGCTTGGTCACTGTCAGAATTTCACCAACAAATCCCTCATAACTTGCACAATGTCCCAGGATGAAATGTTAGGAATATCTGTGCCACCCATAACTGATTTCAAGAACAGATAGTATTATTCAGAAAAGCTTAACACAATGTAATGTCTGACTGAAAATATTAGACATTTCAACAGTGTAAGAGTTTAGTAACAATTAGATTTCAGATTTACCTTTTCTACTATGTTAGTTATTATATATTACCCTTATATACATTGTTACATTTCTAACTGCATAAAAAGGAATGTAATATCTTACATCAATATCCTTAATCAAAGAAAGTATTGCTCGAACATTATTTCATGTCTGCATATTAATATTCATATAATTACATAACAATCCTACAGCAATATTACAGAAACCAAACATTCCTATATATCATTTGTACTACAGCATACAGCATACAGCTCAGTCTAAAAGTAATCATGGTAGACGGCATACCACACTTATTAAGTAATGCTGCATGACAGGCACACACTTGTGCAACTGCAACACACAAATTCCATCCTGTGACCACAACTTCACAGAGAAAAATGATAAAGAGAAAGATAAAGAAGCAGAGGAGTTATAAATGAAATTATCGAAAATGTAAAAAGAAAGAAAGAAAGAAAAAAAGACTACATACCTGCCCTGGCTGGAGGCATGGCCTGTGCGCCCATAGCCCCCATCCCCATAGCCCCCAGTGCCACTGTGGCTGCCCCCTCCATGGTGCCTGTTGCTGCTGTAACTGCCACCTCCACTGTAGTGTGGGTTGTGGTTGCTCACTCCTCCGCGGCTGTAGTTCCCACGGCTGTAGCTTCCGCCTCCTCCACTGGCGCCCCCTCCGCCCCCTCTACCATAGCCCCCACTGGCTCTGCCGCCTCTGTTGCTCCCACTTCTAGGACAAGCAGGGAAAGGAGGAATTAGTACCACAATACCCTGAGTGGCTTAGGCTTGGAAGGGAATTTGACTGTATGCCAAGGTTAATTAAAGAAAATCACACAAATGTGTGATTATTACATTGATGCTCTGATACCTAACTTGGAGGCAGTGTCAGCCTGTCATGGTCAGAAAGATGAGAGTAAAAGAAAGAAAGAAAGAAATAATAATAATAATAATAATAATAATATAAAAAGATAAAAGTTTCAGATAAAATAAAAGAAGAAGACAAATTTTGTTAAAAAATAACAGTACTGTTTAGTATCAAAATTCTTTGTAATTTACCTGTAACGGCTGCTGCCACCACCACCTGACCCAAACTGGTCCTCATGGTAATATCCTGGCATCCTGTAAGAAGGAAAAATGTATTTTAATATTCAATATACACGAATATTCCTATGAAAGACACTGCATTTGAATGTGTGGAATGGGGTTGGTGTACAGCTATAATTCTGTGATGATTCCTGATGACACAATTGAGTGTATTTCAACTTTTGACTTTCTGTCTTAGACTGAACTGAGCACTGGTTCTTAAAAAGTGCATGTAAGTGCATGCATGTGTATTCTCTATTAGTGGAATTAGTGAATGTGAGAAAGTAATTCTGGTAGACATCTAAAATCTCTCCCTTGGCTTCCCCGAGCTAATCATACCAACATATAGTGCCTCTTCTGAACAGTGAATGACTGTGGCATATATGGAATAAAAGTCTCCCAGAACCAATCATAGGGCCACCTCCAGCCACTGGAAATAGTGTCCTCCCTGGCAGGGTTGTGGAGTCGGTACTCAAAACTCCTGACTCCGACTCCTTGATTTCTTGTGTATCTGACTCCAATCCCCAGGTATAACAATAATAAAAAAAAATGGATTTCATAATAACTACTGGCTACCTTTTAACCCTATGTCTTTAAAGACTTGAGTCAAATGGTTACCACCTGACCCAAACTGGTCCTCATGGTAATATCCTGGCATCCTGTAAGAAGGAAAAATGTATTTTAATATTCAATATACACGAAGATTCCTATGAAAGACACTGCATTTGAATGTGTGGAATGGGGTTGGTGTACAGCTATAATTCTGTGATGATTCCTGATGACACAATTGAGTGTATTTCAACTTTTGACTTTCTGTCTCAGACTGAATTGAGCACTGGTTCTTAAAAAAGTGCATGTAAGTGCATGCATGTGTATTCTCTATTAGTGGAATTAGTGAATGTGAGAAAGTAATTCTGGTAGACATCTAAAATCTCTCCCTTGGCTTCCCTGAGCTAATCATACTAACATATAATGCCTCTTCTGAACAGTGAATGACTGAGGCATATATGGAATAAAAGTCTCCCAGAACCAATCATTGGGGCACCTCCAGCCACTGGAAATAGTGTCCTCCCTGGCAGGGTTGTGGAGTCGGTACTCAAAACTCCTGACTCCGACAAAAATAGAAAAAAAAAAAAAAAAATTATATATATAATTTAAAAACTACATAGAGGACTATGACAAAATGAAAATTATAGGATTTCTCTCAGGTGGGAATAAAGTGTGCGAAATGTTTAACCCCTTACTGCCGGGTGAAGAAAATTAAAAGAAACTCTACACACTGGAGATTAATGGCAATGAGCCGACTTTGAGCATGAGTGTCCACTACATCAAGCCATACCCCCGGCCTGTAGCGCTTTGGCGCGTCGCCACGGCATACAGCAACATTCCATAGATCGAGCGGTTTGTTATGACAGCTCAGTGTGTGGCCTTTCGGTATGGGGTTAAAACGTAGGATTTCTGCAATTCATGGTTAGGTCGGAGTTGGCACATATTTACAGACTGACTCCAACAACAACAAATTACTTCAGACACCAACTCCCCAGCCCTGCTCCCTGGTGCTCCCAGGCATGGCTCACAGATGGTACAGATGACCCTCATTTAGTGGTGAAAATAATGCAAAAGCCACTAATCTCCCTCCAAAGGCTTTTTTTTTTCTTTCTTCCTTTCTTTTTTTCTTTTCTTCTTCTTCTTCTCATGGCAAGGTGTCCCTGTTGCTTGCCACTTTGTAATAGTATTTCATGGCAAATCCTTCCTGTCAACCTGACTTGGCCAAAATCTTCCATGATGAGATATTCATATTAATCACACCTCAACTTGGCTATAAAATGCTATAAACATTCTTAAATTTTGTGGTTGTTCATTACAGGCAAAATCTCCTTTATACTATAGTGCTGTGTGAAACAAACTACACTGAAGGCTTTTGGTTCATATGATAATGTCTGTGGATTCCCAGGAGTGCTCCCAAGCTTGTTGCTGGAGTGATAGACTTAGTCACTTCATTAACAACTACCCAAATAACACACTTTATAATAAAAAAAGCTATTGGGGGGAGGAGGCATCATTAGTCTTCACTGCATGGATGTACTAAGCTAGGGTAAATTGAGGACAATAATCTTGTAGAGGACAAAAAGATGCGGTCATCATAAAAGAAATAATCTTAAGACAAATAGTAGTGCCACAAAATGAGGAAAAAAATGGTGCTTGTTATTTTCACCTCCATCTTGGCATGTAAAGACTGAGGGCGATGGTGGGCAAAGACCTTCAGCAATCCTTCCCTTGGGTAATGAATGAAGGAACTCCTAGTCATGGCAACTTGAAGTGTTGAATAAATTTTGTGACGTGGAGTAGGGTGTGTCCGACCATATTGCAAAGAATTATCATAAATATGTTCCCCTACAATGTTAACCGATTAAAATTACCTTTATATTCACCAGCCAAACAAGATCCCCCCCTTCCCCTCCCAAGGTTTAGATGCATTAATATAGGACAAATTGAAGATGATATTCTTGTAGAGGAGAAAAAGCTGCAGTTCTTGGTACAAGAAATAATCTCCAAACACAAAAAGTAATACAACAAATAAAGGAAAAAGATTCAGTAAGAGCTGCTCAAAACTAAAGTCTATTCAATGTTCACAAGGTTCAGCTCCATCTTACCATGCACAACGAGGTAAAGACAATGTTTCTCAGGGGGTATTAGGGGCAGAGCCTACCATCAACCCTCCTCTCCAACAGTGCCTGAAGGGCTCCCAGACGTATGGAAAATTAGATTGTTGAATGAAATTTGTGATCTGGAGTTAGGGGTTAATCTTTACAGTTTGGACGCACTAAGTAAGGGCAAAATGAAAATGATATTCTTATAGAGTACAAAAAGTTAGTCATCAGCACAGGAACTAATCTTCAGACACGAACAGTAATGTCATAAATAAAGGAAAAAGGTTGTGCACAGTGCCGCTAACAGCCTAAGTCCAGTCAGTGCTCCAGTGGCTAAGTCCACTCTTTCGGTGCGAAAGAATACATTGCCGTGCAACTCATACACTGTGTTCTGTCGTACTGCGCACCTACGTCATCACGACGTTATGACCAATAGGGAGGCGGCAGTTTAGCAAAGATTTTAATTGCTCATTAAAGTTTTAGTAAAATATTCCATATGCTTTATCATGTACATATACACAGCCATATATTTACTGTTCATACATATATTTGCATTTTAACCATTTTTACATAAAATGTTTCCATGCATACTATCTTAAACCTATTAAATTTTTTAATTGCTTAACTACTCAAACAATACAGTCAATGCTTAAGCTATTTTGAGTATGCAAATAACACATTTCTAGACTACAGTGACCTGCTTCATTCTTCTCAGTGACAATGACCGATGTGTGTCATTAGTGCTAAATTTTGTGAAAAAATAGAAGACCTTATTAATTTTTTACAAACTCATGGACTTCTATTACCTGAAAAAGTGTGAAAAGTGCAGTGCAATTTGCAGACTAGACATTAAGGACAATAATTTTAGATGCGACAAGTCAAGAAAAATTCACAATAGAATTGTAATTGTAATTAGTGAGGTGTAATTAATTTTTTTTCATAAAAATTGGTTTGCTAAATCAAATATAGACATTGAAACAAATATATCGTGTTAATTTTTATTTGAGATTATTTCTCTTACTCTGTGGTAAGAGACAATCTAAAACTCTGATAAAACAATGGTTAATTTTCCAAAAATGACAACTGGGTCTTCCCTGACAATGTTTATATCATCAAATTTGTTCTCGTGTGATGAGAACGAATCTGATGATATTCTCCGTCGGATTCTCCAGCCGACAATCTTGATGTGTTTTCATAAGTCCCGATAGCAGGGGAGGGCATGAAGTAGATCAGGGAAATTACGGGGTAAAACAGGCTGAAATAAGCAAAATAGAGAGCAGAAATGTGTAAAACAAGCACAAAAAACGCTTAAAATCGGACAATGAAACTCTACGGACATCACCGCCATCTTTCAAAGTCTACGGACCGCCGCGCCAAATTTCGAAAAACTCTACGGGAACCAAACCCACCGTTCGGTAAAAATCTACGGGATTTCACATAATCCAGATCCCCTGTGATAATCGTACAATGCGTCCTAACCAACAAACCAACCTAACCTAACCTAACCTAGCCTAGCCTAACCTAACCCTGTGGGATTCATACACTACGATCTATACATTCCCTAGCCAGGGGGCTCTGCCCCCTGGACCCCCATGGTATTAAATGCGCCTAGCCAGGGGGCTACGCCCCCTGGACCCCCGTAGTAATATACCACATACCTTTATAAAACGAAAAACCGAACTATTGTGCGCTTCCGTCCATGGTCAGAATAGCTTGGTTTCTAATCACTTTTTTCGGCATTTGGGGCACTTGTTGGGCTCAAATATCAGGCTTGTATTGAGAATAATGTCTATTTGTCCTGTATATCCACAATATAGTTTTAAAAATAACCCGATGTCGACACAGCACTTGAAATGAAACATTTTTCACCGGTGTTTCTGAGCGAATGGCGGTGGGTCGACCTGTCAAATCTCCCGGTGAAAACGCGCATGCGCAAAAGGTTATTGTATAGAATAACGTAAATAATTACCAAAAGACGCAAGAGAAGTATAATAAAACTAGAAGAATGCATTACATACATGAATTCAGAGAATCAGACGCTAGTAATGACAAAATAAGCGTTCTCACAAGCGCGTAGCAATACATGGACTACTTGCTGGATCGCAGTAATGAGTTACGCGTCACAATTGTTTTGATCTCGCAAGGTAAACATGGAAGGGAACTTAGAAAATGAAGGGTCGAGCTTCTCTCTTCTCTGTCCTATATCTCCCTTATTTTAGATTTGCGCAGTTGTTGCCATAGATGAAAAGTGTCTTACTTTTCGTCAAGGTATCCATTCCATACACTTATTTTACTGTACGATTGGTTGACATGCGCGGAAAATTTTCCAAAACAATTTGTGATGGGGGAAGTTTTTGCCGTGAAGTACTTATTTCTTGGTGTTTGAACAATGGATTGGTGGCCCTGGCACAATTATAGAAAAAGACAAATCTAAATTTGGCAAAAAAAAAATATAACGTTGGCAAGTTGATTGAGGGCCAGTGGGTTTTCGGTGGGGTGTGCTATGAAAGTCAGATTTTTTTCTTTATTCTGGTGCCCTCCAGAGATTCTGAGACCCTTCTGGCAGTTATAAAAGAAGGGACCCCCATCATCAGCGACTGCTGGAAGGGACATAACTGCCTAAACAAAGAGGGGTTTGAGCACCTGACTGTAAACCATTCCCTCAACTTTGTGGATCCCGTCACTGCGGCTCATACCAACACCATTGAGCGTAAGTGGCAGGAAGCGAAGGCCAAAGTACTGCATTACAGCAGGAGGAAGTATCATTTTGTTGGGTATCTGGCACGTGCAATGTTTTTAATGAGCATCCCAGATTCGAACCAAAGATTGCATCACTTCCTCCTTGCCGCTGCTAATTTGTATCCTCCGCAGAAAGGTACATCATATCATTTACATTTTTTCTTACACTGCATAACCTTTTCGGTAAAAGTAAAAGAGGGCGTCCAGGGTAGCCATGCCCCCTTGGCTAAATAAATAAGTAAACTGGTAAAACACATAAAACTCAAAGCCCTGTATCAAGCTCTATCTTGCTGTAAGAGAATGTTTGCCGGGGGTTGTTGGGGGGCAGAGCCCCCCTATCAACCCTCCCCTCGGGCAGTGCTTGAAGGGCACACCCAGTCACGGCAACTTGGACTATGGAGTAAATATTTGCAAATATAGTGTTTGGCTCGCATTTCCAAAAAGTTGAATTTCCTTGCATTCATAATTTCCTTTGGTCATTTACTGGAACTCAAATAAAACTAAGGCTACTCCCTGCTCCCCCAACCACCGGTTCCCCACGTGTCCCCCAAGATTGTTGGCTGGAATTGGGGACAGTCTCTGGCGAGTGCATCTGTATTGTGAAGAATTCCTGGAAAATTTGCAAGACAGGTACAGCTATAGGTGTTATGACTCAATTTGACAAAGCAAGCAGGAAGGACCTCTATACATAGTGAAACCCCAAGCAAAAAGTTTAGATGGATCCCAGAAGCCACAGAAACGAGTGCCACACCGAAAATTCTGGCACCATCAGTGTAGTTAAGTTTGATTATTGAAGCAGTTCATAGTCAATTCCTATATTATGAAAACATGTGATTACATTATTGCATGTTGTGTAAGTTAGGCACTGATAATACCCCCAGGTTTATCATCAAACAAGGAATCAACCCAAGTCCCTGCCTGCCAGAATATATGTCAAGGATGCTTGACAACTTTCAGGGTGCAAATATAGCTGCAATCACTATGTAAACAAGTATATTTTAACAAAATCACTTCACATGATACAGAAATCAAACATTTCAAACAATGTCACTCTCCCCCCCAACCAAAACAATGATTTCCTACTGGTCTCCCAAGCCTGAACTACGGGGGGAGGGTAGGTTGCTAACATGGAAACAGGAGGTTTACCCAGAAAATGAATTGCATTCCTTCTATTTACATAAAACTATGCAAGATATTTGGATCCTTTCAGAGTCACAATACAAAGCAAAAAAAAGATTGCCAATAACAGGACCCATTTCCATTAGTTAGATAAAGCAAACAATAAGCATCTCAATCTCCTCACTATAAATAACTGCTATCACCTACAGTTCGTCACTACTGATAAGATAGAGCCTAAAGCACGCATTACGTTTCAAATTCGTTCGTAATACAAAAAAAAGGTCCAATTCAATCACCAAATCAAGGGAGAGAAACCTGCAAATACAACCAAACTCCGCCACAGTTAAGGAACCACAAATCCCCAACGAGAAGAATGCATCAAAGGACGAAATAAAGAAAATGACGAAATAAAATGCTTCGAGTGACAACAACAATGACAAATATAAAAAAAAGGGAAGAACTGCGTTTTGAGGGGAAATTCACAGAAACGTTCAAAGATCCGCGATTCCCCTGGCGAAACGAGGAATGCGAGAGGGACGTGGGATAAACCTCACCCAAAAAACAGAGACACAAAAGAGAGAAATAAATCACATTGGGCTTATCGATGCCGGGCGACTCATAAACAATCCTCGCTTCCTTTTTTCTCCCCTTCTTTTTCTCTCTCTCCCGGAGAATCTAGAACCGAACTCGCCGCACCCTTTTAAGCTCCATTACCTTGTGCAATCACCGAGCGTATATTCGTTGTATTGGTCGGTCCCAAAGCCACTCAAATTAGACAAGAAACGACGCTTGGGTGAGTCGTAACGTGGCGTCTCCTCCTCACAATGGCGGCGTCAGTGTTGCCATCGAGCGGCCGCGGTTCCTGCTACTCGAGGCGCTAAAGTCCGCTAGAGATACACATTTTATTGGTAGATGAATATTATTGGTCGGTGAATATTATTGGTAGATGAATATTGTATATTCTTAAGTGTTATCTGTAACTGTATCTGTTATTGGTAGATGAATATTGTATATTCTTAAGAGTTATCTGTAACTGTATCTGTTATTGGTAGATTGATATTGTATATTCTTAAGTGTCATCTGTAACTGTGGTCATTACGGATATTAAGAAATGAACGTATCTCTCTAAACCGACCGAATTCGACTCATTATTGGTACATTTTTTTCACATTAACATAAACACCCAAGTTTGGTGTTCTTTACTAAAATGTACCATAAAGATAAAACGAGACAATGCAAAACTAATGCATGCAGCATTCCGCCCTCATCAAGTTAGTTTCAACAACTAAAAAGTTATATTTGCTGTATGGAACAATGCAAACAATTATAATAAACATCTTCAAAGGTCTATATGAATATAATAAGAAGAACGGAACAAATTCTTATAAAGTTATCATTTCCTTAATATATCATTCCTGAGCTAACATCCTTCACGCAGATAGACCCCTAGAATTTGAATGAGGCAACAAAAAAAAAGGAAATTGCAAATCCACAGACAAATTAAGCTATCTCACTCCAGAAATGAGGTGCCTTCAGGTTCCATAAACCTGAGAAGTGAGATCCTACACGTGGTCGTCATTTCAAGTGACATGACAGGAGTGGAATTCGGGTTTCAAAAGAAGTGAATGACATCTCAAAGGTTATATATTGTTTGTGATTTTACTCTTGTATCTCTTACTCTCTTAATGAAATACTTATACTCTATCTTTACTTTATTCTCAGATCTAAAACTCTGATATATTCAAGTCCTATTAAAGTTGCCATTAGTATATAATAGTTCTTCGCTATATTAAAGCAGAAAAATCTAGCAGGAAATCGCTAAAATGACACTCCCGTCCGGAATCATGTCCTCTGATCTTGTCAAAAATTTTCTTTTTTGTTTATTCTGTTGTTTTATTATGTTATTCAGTCTCTTTCACGTTTGTCATTTTCTCTCTCCATCGCCGTTTCGTTAATACTTTAATTTCCCTTTGTCCTTTGTTGTAAATGGTAAAATAGTATGGTTTACGAGAGCTCTCTTTCAATTATTCATTTACTCTTTACAAAAAGAGCGTCTGTCTTTTACTTCTGTCTTTTACTTTCTTCGTATTTGTTTAGCGATTTCTGCTTGCTGATGAAGAAATGTGTCCGCTAATTTTGACAAGGAGATATGATATATATACACACAGACGCACACACACACACACACATACACAAGCATTGTGTGCGTGTACGTATGTGTAGGTATATATTATTGTTTGTGTGTGTGTGTGTGTGTGTGTGTGTGTGTGTGTGTGTGTGTGTGTGTGTGTGTGTGTGTGTGTGTGTGTGTGTGTGTGTGCGTGCGTGTGCGTGTGCGTGCGTGCGTGTGCGTGTGTATGTGTGTGGGCGTGTGTACATGCGTGTGTAGATCATTAAAAGTATATATACTTTCACGGACCCAGCAAAGTAGACTGAGATATCTAATTCCGAAGAAAGCTCTTTTTTAATTCCTTAATCTTGGGTTTTATTCGCGTTGGGGCCTTTAATAACACATAGTTTGAGTGGCTGATTAGACCAATTCTTCAACTATTCTCACATTTACGTGCCTTCTTCATAGGTTATGAAGTGAGGACTGGTTTTGTTCATTAATGGGCAATGCACCGTGTTTTTTAAATTAAAAATCGGTTTAACAGACTCTCAGGAGCATGTAATCTACTGGGATGTTGTAAGTCGCCGGAGTCTTGTTACAGTTGTTACAGGATATTAAAGGTTTATTTGATTTCTTCTTAAATAAGGGGTGGCTTCACCTCTTCAGATGATAGTACTGCTATCACCTTCCAGCAACATTCCACCAATAGTTTGCAATTGGTTGTCTAAATTTTGCAGAAGACGGATCAACGGTTGCTTGAAAATCACATCTTCCTCTTTTAATTCATTAGCATCTCGTAATTTGGTCTTTCTTTAGAGTTCCTAGTCTTAATTTCGTTACAGTCATGGCCGCTCGCAAGTTAAAATATCAGTACACCAACTGCTCTCCATTCCCGCATATGTGGTGGGAAAGGTTCAAGCTTCAGGAACTCTCACGTCCCGTTTTGGATTGCCTTTATGTGTTTAAATATTTATTGATAGTACATTTTTCTCATACCATAAATGCTATTATCCTATACTTCATACTGGGTATTGATTATTTTTTATTATTTTTTTTTTACTATGAATTACAAGTAAAACCATAATATCAGTTATATCCAAAGCAACTTAATTTTGATATTGGAATGTTATTTGTCTGGTGTCAAGGATGCCAGAATCACTTGGGGTTTTATGACAGAGACGCTGCACACCTGCCGGGTTTCCTCCTTGACACCA